TCTTTCCCATGATGACTCGGAGTCAGAGGTAAGTTTAACTGGAAAGCTAATGCTAAAGGAGACAGATTCAACTGACACATACCATTTTCATTTCTTCAGTCCATCTGTGTCTCTCTGTCTGTCTTTTTTTTTTAACCCAGTAATCTTCTTTTGAGCTCAAACCTAATAAAAAGTGGTACATCGCATTTTTTGATTTGATTGATTTGATTTTTATTGATTAGCATTTTATATATATAATAATATATATTAATATATATATATATATATATATATATACATATATATATATATATATATATATATATATAATAATAATAATAAAAAAATAAATTTTTTTTTTTTTGCTCTTTTCATTCTTGATTTATATATTTTTCTAATACTCTATTTTTAAACAAGGAAAATGAACTCACCTTTTTAAATCACTGTCATAACTATTCCACAGGTTAACTCCTCTAACAGAAACACATCTCTGCTTTATTTTGTCCTTATCTTGTTTTTTTTTTAAGAAATCTGTTCCCCTTAAGTCATATTGACTCTCTCTGACTTTGAACAGCTTCTGAGTACTGGGCAAAGCAAGTTATTTTGTGCTTTATACATTATCTGTGCCATTTTATATTCAACTAAATCATAAAATTTCAGGGTATTCAGATTAATAAACAAAATGTTAGTTGGTTCTATATAGTTTGATTGGTTTATAATTCTTATAGCTCTTTTTTGTAACTTGAAAATAGGAAGAGTGTTCGTTTTATATGCATTACCCCATATCTCCAGACAGTAAGTCATATATGGAAGCAACAGAGTACAATAAAGTGTGTATAATGATTTTTTGTTCAGGACATGTTTAAAGTAAATTTTAGTGCATTGGTTCTAACTAGTGGTTTACTTTATGAGACTGGTAAACTAGTGTTTACATATCTCTTCTCCACACACACACAGTATTCATTCATCATTCATTCAATAACATTTTTCAAAAGACACAAGGATGGCATCTCCATAAAACCTCTCTTGACATGTCTAGATGACATTAAAGCTTGGTTGGCTCTAAACTTTTTAAATTTTAATGAAAAGAAAACAGAAGTGTTGGTGTTTGGACCCAGTGGTCCCTGTGAGTCCTCCTCTGTTGTTTTAGGATCCCTGGAAGTCTATTTTAAATCTGTTGTTACTGACCTTGGTTTTAAGTTGGACAGTGATTTTAAATTGGACAACCAAATCAGAGCAGTGGTGAAGTCCAGTTTTTATCATTTAAGGCGACTGGCAAGAGTAAAATCTTTTCTTTCGAGGCAGCACCTTGAAACAGTGATCCATGCTTTTATTTCTTCCCGCCTGGACTACTGTAACTCACTTTATGTGGGGGTCAGTCAGTCATTGCTCTCACGTCTGCAGCTGGTTCAAAATGCGGCTGCACGACTCCTAACAGGAACTCGAAAAAGAGAGCATATAACCCCCGTGCTGGCCTCTCTGCACTGGCTGCCTGTGTCTTTTAGAGTTAATTTTAAAATTCTTATGTTTGTTTTTAAATGCCTTCACAGTCTTGCCCCGCCTTACCTCTCTGAGCTTCTTCATCCCCACATACCCACAATACCCTGTCGGTCTCTCAGGTCAGCTGACCAGCTGCTCCTGGAGGTACCGAGATCCAGGAGGAAGCTCAGAGGGGACAGGGCCTTCTCTATTGTGGCTCCAAAATTATGGAATAATTTGCCCATGCATGTTAGAGAGGCCCCTTCACTGTCCACTTTTAAAACACGTCTTAAAACCCACTTTTATTCCTTGGCTTTTAACCTCAGTGAGACTTAGTTTCTCTTTTAATTGAAGTAGTTATTCAATTAATGATTTCACTCTTCTTTTATTTGTTTTTTATTTATATCTCATGTAATTTTATTTTACAGTTCCAATGTACAGCACTTTGTGTCAGCTGTGGTTGTTTTAAAGTGCTTTATAAATAAAGTTGATGAGATAGTCCCTAGATTTTCTGGAATTTTATACTGTTATGCTGATCACACTTAACTATTCTGTTATTTATATATATATATATATATATATATATAGATAGATAGATAGATAGATAGATAGATAGATAGATAGATAGATAGATAGATAGATATGAGGGAGAGAGAGAGATCTTTCTAGTCCTAAAGTAGACTGGCAGCAGTTTTCACATCGTGTTTGTGTGCTGCTGTCTTTGGAGCGCATGCTGTTACCATACCCACAGAGTTGTGGGGGATGGGTTAACTGTTTTGGACACACACGTATTTGTGTAGGCGGCTCCTTCATTCTGCAGCGGGCCAGTGGCGCAATGGATAACGCGTCTGACTACGGATCAGAAGATTCTAGGTTCGACTCCTGGCTGGCTCGTAGCTTTTTTTTTTTTTTCTTTTCTTTTCTTTTTGGTGTTAGATTGACAGTAGTACTCAGTGACTGTTGTCCCTTTGTGGAAGTTGTGTTTTTTTTGTTTTTTTTGTTTTTTTTTTAGGGTGGGCGGCAGTGTTCTTGTTTCCTTAGCAGGTGTTGATTAGGAAAATGAAATGATCCAGACAGGGTGTAGCATTTTAAACAGTTGTTAGATTAAAATTTAAAAAGTAAAGTAAAGGATACATGGGAGAAATAGTCTTTGCAATGTTTGTTCATCAGAGGGCACTCAGCAACTTTGCTGTTAGAAACATGCCACAAAGTCAACAACCGGCTGGTCCAAGTAGAGTAGGGCAGAGTATAAATGCGTATTATTATTTTCATGTTATCTTAGCAAGGACTCAGAAATCAATACACATATTATTATCCTTTGACTGAAATGATTTTTGGCCTGTAAAATTGGTGGTTGTTTATAAGTTCATGTGCAGTGTTACAGATTTGTATATATTTGATGTATGTATGTTCAATCTCAAAGCAATATCAGGCTTACTTTTGAGGCATTTGAACACTGTAGCAGTCATGCAGCGTTGACAAACGCAAGCTTTGTGTTACTTCCTTCTTCTTGTGTGTTGCTGTTGAATACCACATGCAGTCAGCAGAGCAATAGACTGTGGGGGATGGGCTGAGCTGTAGTAAAATGCATGTATTCCTGTAGGAAGGCACTGCATTCCACTGCGGGCCAGTGGCGCAATGGATAACGCGTCTGACTACGGATCAGAAGATTCTAGGTTCGACTCCTGGCTGGCTCGTATATGTTTTATTTTCTGGGTTGCTTTGATTTGGTTGAAATAATAGAAGCAATTATTGTTATTCTTGCATAAGATGAGAACAGTCATACTATGAATACATTTTCTCTGACCTACTTAACGCAATAGTAAAATTACACCATAACTTCATTAAATAAAGCTACAATAACTAGCTTTTAGGATTCAGGAGTTTGTAACCTTTTCTGTGAAGAGATTTTAGGGCATTTTGTGACCACAATATTGAGCATAAACCGACATGAACATATGTGGGCAGTTACTACATGGTGTGCAAATGAGCAACAGTGCAGTTCAGTTAACAGTCACAGATGTAATTATTAATAACTATAGTTATGTTAATGAGGTTGCACAGACCTCCACAAGTCCAGTATTTAATCACTCTCCAAATTCCTCTTTATGAAAAACACAACAACTCTCCTTAAAGGGGACCTGAAACACTGCACATATAAAGGCTAATTTACACGATAGAGCACTGCTCTCACCCACTGACATGGACGTAACAGAATCAATAACTCAGAGGAAAATAAAGACACTAAAACCAAAAATCAGTTTAAGGGGATCACATTTGTGCTGTCTTTGCTGCAACAATGAGTTTTAATTAATTGGCTGTTAATGTCTAGCGTTTCTTGTCCCCTTTAACGCAGTCATCTTTTCCCTCCTATTTATTTGTGAAGTAGTGTTTACTCCAGCTTCTGTTAGGATGTGTTTACATTGTGAAACAACATCAAATGGATTTTGAAAGCATGAAAGGTCACAGCAGTGCAGTTTAGCTTCCCTTTCTGAGAAAGTGTTGCTGCTACACGTGGACCTTGCACCCAGGGCACAACTGTGGGGGATAGGGCACAGTGGTTGAACCATGGGGCCAGTGGCGCAATGGATAACGCGTCTGACTACGGATCAGAAGATTCTAGGTTCGACTCCTGGCTGGCTCGTAACTTTTCTTTTTTCTTTCTGGGGTTACATTGACAGTAGTACTCAGTAAAGTCTTTCTTTTTTTTGTTTCCTTTTCCACATGTTAAAATACAAAATTAGCAGGGGTTGATTATGAAATGATGCAGACATGTATTGGCTTTTTAAACAGTTGTTAAGTGAAACTTTAATTCGACTCCTCGCTGGCTTGCGATCTTTTCATGTATTAAGTTATGCTATTACTTTAGATTTTGTTAGTTTGTAAAATAAAACAGTCATTCCCACTGTTGTTTGTTTTTTGGTTTTTTTAGTGAGAATATTAGACAATATAAAATTATGCTATCATGCTTTCGTATTATGCTCATTTGGGAGCTCGAGTTTTATGTGGGAGGTCTTCTTTGTTAGGTTTATGTGCTTTACTCGGCCCCCCCCCACAGACTTTCTTTTCATGTATTTTTTTGAGCAAGGTTAAAAACAAAAAAAGCTACATCAGCAATGAGGTTGTGAGGCTAGATTGGAATGTGATTGTGCTTTTATGGGAACGGGCTCTAAAACATCTGGAGGGCAAATATAAAAAGAAATATTTCTGTGTTTATCCCCATTGTGTGATCAAGCACTTTAGAGTAAACAGTGCACCTGGAGTCAACATGATAATGATGATGGCAGTCATCGTGGATCTTTTTTTTTTCTTGTTTTTGTTTGTTTGCTTGTTTGTTTTTTAAATGTAACCGTTAACCTCGTCTAACCTTTGAGGTTTGATATATCTCTGTCTCTCTTTCGTTTTCCTCAGATCCTTTTCTCTGCAGATGACGAAATGGATGAGTCTGATGAAGACGATGTCCGTCGACTCACTGGTGTGAAGATGGTGAAAAAGAAGAAGCTTCGCATGGGGATCCCTGTCTGACCTGCGTGCCTAGCTTTACTGTTAGGATCAAAAAGTCTGCGTACATTTCCCCATTCCCCTACAGATTGTGTGATATTGCCTTCAATCAGTGACCTTCAATTACAAAATAATACACTGTATCTGAAGCTCCTTTACCATTGGCTCCTGGAGGACAGCTATATGAACTTTTTTTTTAGCAGTCGACCATTTTTCTTTCCTTTGTTTTTTTTTTTTTTTTATCATTGTTTATTTTAAACATGGCTCTCATGATGTGAGTGTTGTGTTTCAGGACACTGGGAAAAACAATGAGTGAAGTTACTGTTAAATCCTTAATGTAATAGGAAAACTGAACTGGCTCCAGCAGAGCCAAATATGATGTACTGGGTTACATTTGATATCCTTCCGAAGTGCACCCTCCTCCCCCCAAAACAAACAAACAAAAATGAGCAAACAAAAAAAAAAGATGTATTCCTTGTGTTCATTCCACGTTAACATCTGTCCTGTTGTCGTCACATGTAGATGCCCCACCATGGCCCGTGTTATACGCGTGTCTGTGACAGTGTGTACAATTGCACACCCTTTAACTTTAAGAGGAGCATTATGTCAGGTTTTGAATTACTGTATTGACTCTACCGTATATCTTGTACGTGATGTTACATTAGTCGAATGGAGCACATTAATCCTTGCAGCAATCTTCCATTTCTTTTAACAAAGACATCTGAAGTCTCTTTTGAACTGTTGAACCTGTAAGACTGCAAGCGCTGCACTGCAGCATCCTTCTAATGTCAGCTCAGCCACTGTTTTTTCTGTAAGCAAACGACTGCAACATGTCTGACTCTTTTACTGATGTGCTCTGACTGTATGTTTTAGTCCTTGAATGTACTTTTTTTTTTTTTTTTTTTTAAGTTTTGAGTGTTTTACTTTCGGGCCAAAAAAGGTGAGTATGCTCATCCCAAAAGTGTTTTTTCAGTAAATATGGGAACAGGTTCTTGCACAATTTCCCATTTTTCTCAGCTTTTGCCTTTCCCCGTTCTAATGTGTGGGTTTTTTTGTTTTGTTTTTTTCCTTTGTTATTGTTGTGTTTTTGTTTTGTAGTTCCAACAATGTGCCTGAGTTAAATTACCAGCAGTCTTTTTATTTTTGGTTTTGGTTCGGTTTTGTTTTCTTTGACTGTTTTAAGCAGAGCTCGAGATCTCCAGAGGGGTATACTACAAAGACAGTTTTAACACAGCCAGGCTTTCTTTGTGTTAGTGTCATCTTATTAGTACATGCACATTCCAGTAAAAATGTGGAACTTCATTCAGTGGTTTATTAAGATACAGCTTAACAACATGCACAAATGAAATACATTCCCCTAGCATAGAATCTACATTGCGCTTAACACATGCTGTAAGTGAAAATGTGAGACTTCTGCTAATTTTTAATCTGAAACTCAGAACATAACCTGCTCCTGTCCAGTAATGGAGTCACATTAGTGACACAAAACTCTGAGTTTAAGCTCAACATAGTTTTCTAAACCACTAATCTCACTTTGCAGTACACCCCTCAGGCATGAAGCACCATCCAGCAGGCTCTAATCTTAAGAATGTGACGTACATAGACCTCTAAACTGTAAACAGTAAGTGCAGACCAGGCAGCTGAGAGAAAGGGTGTGCTTGTGTGTGTGATTTAACACACACACACTAGTGTGTATATAAACTGGCATGTGCTGAATATATGTGTGACTGCTGGTCCTGTTTAAAGTAAAAGGCGTGACTTAAACTACAATGATTACGGTGCTGCTGATGATTTCATTCTGATGTTTTTGGCATGTTGGTAAAGAAGGAAAGACTGCGTTTTTAAAAAGGGGAAAGTACGGGACAGTGCAGAAGTCATGGTAACTGTCAGCTGAACTAGGACAAAGAGGGCTTTAGTATTTTGCAGAGCTTAATCTACTTCATGAACAACATCTGATGGAAATAAATTATCATATAAATGCTTTCCAAATAAACGGTATGATACAGAATGAAAGTAGTGGATTACATTTCTGTTGTGGCAGAGAAAAGTCGTTCCCTGACCGGGAATCGAACCCGGGCCGCGGCGGTGAGAGCGCCGAATCCTAACCACTAGACCACCAGGGATTGAAAGGGACCACGGTGTGACGTCATAAAATGTGTAAACGCATTTATGTTAAAAAAAAACAAAGGGGGGGATGATGTTCATCCCAAAACTGTTTTTCATACCTTGACTTTTAAACTTTGTATTTATTTTATAAAAGTGAGATTCAAAGATATTCATTGATATCTGCATTTGTTTTGTTTTGTTTTTTTAATGCCATGTTTATACAACAAAATTACAACACGGTGATGATTTCAGCATCTCTTTAATTGTGGGGATTGCTTGCTGTTTACCACTAGGGGTAACGCTTTCCTTATCAGAGTCGACCGGTAATGATTGTGTTCCCAGAAATAGATCTGCTTTCAGCAAATACACATGCAGTAATTAAGCATCAGGAACCATTCTTAGGGGCTCTTTAAAGTTCACGACATGTTGGATCAACAGCTTAATTTAAAAGGCACCTTTTGTCTCTTTGTCTAAGACTTTTTGTCTATTTATTACTTTTACTGTAAGTACCATGTTCTGCTCAAAAACATATAATTTGTTGCTTTTTGATATTTTAAGTGTTGTGGTTTTAAATGCTGATGATGGAGCTCCAAGCCAGTTGTTTAAGGGTGAAGGATATATTTAACGGGCCAGCATAAACATACATGCGTAATGAGATGCTCTAAACATCGCACTGGGAAAAGTCTTAATAATCATCATAATCATCATCTGCACAAACGGGTAATCCAATTGATGGCTAAAAGTCCTATAACTGCTTTGACTGCTCTAAATGGGTAACATCACATACAAACAGTAACGAGTCTTACTGTGTGTCACTGAGTTAAAACAGTGATGAGTCGGTGTTTCCATGATCCCACAGCTCACACCTTGAATTTAAACACTGATGCCAAGTCTAATGAGTAATATTGCCTGAACTGTTTGCTTACTTGTTCCAGGCTAAAAAGAAAAGTGTAAACGCATTTAAAACAATCCGGATCGAGTGCATAAAGTAACATGATATTAAGTCCTAATGGTCCATACGAACAGATTTGGCAGAGAATGCGTACTGAAAACACAACTGGTCCAGATTGACATTTGGGTGGCTCTTACTGGTCCAGCCCTTATTTTGATGGTTAACTGGCTGAAAATGCTTTTTATGACATCCCAACAAGAAACATCCTCTTGCCTAAATCAAGTTATTGAACTGAGTAAGCAGATTCCCAAGAACTGGCTCTACAAGGCGGTACTGCTGGGTGGTGATCACTAGTTTAATGTAGTCCAAAGTGCAAAGCTCTACAGAGACATTTTCAAAAGAGGATGTGAGTGCAGGGTTAACCGGAGGAGGAGGTGTAGCCTTCTGCCACTCCTGTTGTGTCTTGAAATTGTCAGCTGTTGGCCTGTAAGCTTATCGTTAACGATGGGAGCCCCATTCCAGCTGTACTATCCTTCACGTCACACCTAATAATACACTGTGACAACAGGCAGTGGAACCGATGGCAGGGGGGGCCTGACTGACTCACTGCAGGCTGACACAGGACTATATATAATGTCTGGGGGACAGACACACACACACAACAGAATAACAACCAACAAATCAATTACACTGTCTGCGGGATCAGAGCACCAACTCTAACAGCCATGTCACAGGTACGTTACATCACCTCACATACAGCAAATGAATACACAATGAATCCACGCTTAACCAGAGAGTCACATACGTTTGATTTCCCCTTATTTTCTTTACTGTAGCCAGGCGAGGTAAAAAAGAAGAAGCGCCCACCGATGAAGGAAGAGGACCTCAAAGGAGCCCGCAGTAAACTGGGACTGAAGGGCGAGGTTAAGAGTAAGACCTATGAGGTCATGGTGGAGTGTGGTGAGTAAAGTCTTTGCTGTCTGCAAAGGCATTATGTCTTCCTGGAATAACAAGTATGAACTCATGGGCGCATAGACCGTAAACATGACTATGTATATCTCGTAAAAACAGACTAGTTGACTTTGTGTTGTATTCGTGTCCGATTGTTTAAAAGAGAGAGAAAAAAAAAAATGAGTTCCCTGACCGGGAATCGAACCCGGGCCGCGGCGGTGAGAGCGCCGAATCCTAACCACTAGACCACCAGGGAGAGCTGAAACTACGAAAACATGTATCACTTTTAAAGGACACACTGACGATGAGTTCCCCCTGTTTCGGGTAGTTTTCTTGATAATAAATCACCAATGGTTTCTGTCGGAGTGAGTGGAGGGACATTTTATAGCTTCTTCAAACATTGACATTGGACTCTATGAAGAAGTAAATACAGAAAAAAAAACCCAAGTCCCACGACAGCACTATCTCACGAACATTGCACACTTTCACATCCATATAAGTGTACTAGATGTCCACACTCCAAACACCTCAAAGTCTGATATAGTTTTAATAGCAGCTTACTTGGACATGACGTTGAATGATTAGTATTCCTTTGGGGTTGGTGCCTGGTACTAAGAAGTGCCTGATTAAAATTTTGAATGTCAAATTCTCAACTATGAATCAAGGAAGTGCCACAAATAGAGAGTGTTTTTCTGACATGTGTCTTGTGTCTCTGTCTCGTTCTGTGATCAGAACGCGCGGGCAAAGTTGCTCCATCTGTGTTCAGTGGTGTGAGGACAGGAAAGGAGACCGTGCTTGACCAGCCCACAGCTGCCAAAGCTCCTGGAGCCAGTGTGTTCAGCAAGTGAAGCACACTGCAACCTGAAACCAAACAAATAGCACAGGATGAACATGCACACTGTTGGCTTTGTGCTTCAGACTCAGAGACTTTTAAGTGTGTGCTTCTTCCTGCTTTAATGAAAAATGTAAGAAAGATTAATTGAAGACAGATGAATGTGGTTCATTGCTATGATTATATATTGTGAAAAAAATGTTTGTTTTTTTTACTCGTGTTCAGCATTTTCCTAAATAAACTCTCACTGTGACAAGCAACCTTAAGACTTTTATTTCAACATATTATAATCTGCTTATTGTAACCCAATTATTTAGGATTGATTGTAAAAGTAAAAAAAACCCCACTTGAACAAATGTTTTTTAATGCAAATGTGCACATCTGCACCAAAATACAAATGTGTGATAAATCCTGATGTTCTATTATTGTACAGGACTGTAAAGCTCTTTCTTTTAAAGTTATGTGTTAACAAATCTCTAGATTTTCAGAGGCCTTCCCTAAGTATCAAAAAAATAAATGTTCATTTCTTGTATTTTAAACGCTGATCCCTAACTAGTGAACAAATAGAAATGTGGGGGTTTGTCAACATAGTGCCACAAAATGAGTTACCAGATCTGGCTAGGTCTGGAGTAGAGAAGAGTTCAATAGTTGTTCGCCAAAATTGCAACACAACAAATAAGCAGACAAAAATCTAGTTTACTGTCTGCGGAGATTATGTCTACTTATGTTTCTGGGCTAAATGACAAACACATCTTTACATAAATGCTGATGATGAGAAATGATAAAAAGCCTCTTGTAGTTTCTGACAGGTCTTCACTTTTTAATTCCAAGAGCATAAAAAGACTGTAAATTAAAGTCCCACACAAGAACCTCCTTCCTTCAGCCAAAACAATGAAGACGAGATGTGGAAGATCTTGGAGTGACCTAGCCAGTCTCCAGACCTCAGGCCTGTAAAAAATAAAGTTTCGAGTTTCCAGGCGGCAGCCAAGAAACCTAAAGGATTTAGAGACATCTTTCCCCATCTCACAATGCTGTGATTGCAGCCATTCTCCAGCTTTCTGTGAATGGTACTCTTGCCCGTTAATCTGTAGTCTTTGATCAATGGTCTTTGAAAAGTGTTTGTTGATCAATGGTCATGACAATTTGCATATTAATAATCAAGGAACTGACCTCACAGCCCATTGTTCATTTAGTGGCCTCGTTTCAGTCATTGTGTAAAGGTACTGTTTATATGGTTGGACAAACCTGCAGTCAGCTGTGACTGAAGAAGTCACTTGGATGAGTGATGAAACGTTTCTCCCACTGAAAACATCCAGATGAACAGAATCAACTTTTTCGGATTACTTTCTTGAAACCGTTGGTGTCGATTTTATTGTCACTTTGCTAAGTCTTTAATTAAGTGTCGATGGGATTCACTCTCCCAAACATCCACAAACTAGCAAATATTATCTTTGTGGTTTACAGCCACCTCACAGCCTCCTGGACATTGAGCTCAGGGCAGCTGACCAATATAGGAAAACACACAGATACGTGTCCCTCCCACAGGACACTGAGAGTTTTGCTCTGCACTGAAGTCAGCCAGTGTTCAGTCAGAGTTTGGTCATGTCTGGACTGTTGGGTGTTCGCCTGCTGCTGCTGTGGGGCTGCGCCTGCCTCTGGCTGAGCAGCTCAGCCTCAGGAGCTCTGGTCATCTCCAGGCACGATGAAGCCATACAGGTAACGTCAAACACTTTTGTGATATGAAACTGAAATAACTTTGTGGCATGATTTTGACAGCGCTGACTTCAGAAAGTAGTTCTATGATTTTTTTTTTTTTTTAACCCAAAACCCTTAAACACCAACTGTGTCTGAGTTTTTTGTAAGCTTTTTCTTAAAACTTACTTCATGTAATCTCCGTAATATCCTGTGTGTGTATTTCAGGAGAGAAGAGGAGCTGCCAGATCACTGCAGGTACTTGGAAAACTATTCACACATAGTCTCTTTGTATTAGTGAAAACATCTCATTAGTTTTTAATCACTGCTAAAATTCAGTTTCTGATACTGCGTCATAACAGCTCAACTTCAACATAACACAGATCACACTATTTTTAAAGATATATCTGCTGGTAAACCAATAACTACATAAACATGCAGTGGAAATTAAGAGCTTAGTGCAGGCTTATTATTTTTTAATGTGAATGTATTTTTCTTTGTTCTTACAGAAAAGAAGTACAAATGAAGTAATGGTAAGAAATGTATCCATTCATATACCTGGTGATGATAATGGTGATGGGAGATAATAGTTTTAATTCAGATTAAAAAATCAGATTCATAGAGAGAAACCCATTTTTATCTTCTTACATTTCCTTCTGTCTCTCTGTCTCAGGTGGAGGTGCACAGTGTGACAGTGGACTGCACTGTGACCTCTCGTTTTGCCCACACTGTCATGACCTCCAAGGCGTTCAACAAAGCAAACTCGTCACAGGAAATCTTTTTTGAAGTGGAGCTGCCCAAGACTGCTTTCATCACAAACTTCAGCATGTTAGTCTGTTTCCTCTCTAATCATTCTGACAGTTTTTATAGGCCAGTCTTTCATTTCACAACTGTGCTCCAAAGCTGAATTTCTCACTATCTTGGTGTCAATTTATGTGCTTTACATCCCTCATGTCTATCTCCATCTTTGTGCCTCACAGGGAAATCGAGGGTCAGGTGTATGTCGGAGAGGTGAAGGACAAAGAGAAAGCTAAGAAACAGTACGAGAAGGCTGTTTCCTCTGGACAGACTGCTGGACTCGTCAAGTGAGTCGTCCAGATGAACCAGAAACACAGATCGTGTAAATTCACCGGAACAGCTCTCAGATATCTCTGCGACATTTTTGTTGTTGTTATTTCCAGGGCTTCTGGGAGAAAGATGGAGAAGTTTTCAGTCTCTGTCAATATTGCAGCTGAAAGCAACGTGACCTTTGTCCTGACATATGAGGAGCTCCTTCAGAGGAAACTGGGCCGATATGAGCTTTTGACCAGAGTCAAACCCAAAACACTGGTTCAGGACTTTCAGGTGAATCCAGGTTTGATTAAATTCCCTACTTAGGGTGTCCCAAAAAATGTATTCTTTGTATCTGGCTGTAGTGCTTTCAGTGGGAGAAACGTTTTGTCACTCATCAAAATGCATCTTTGCACAATAATTGAAATTAGCCCACTGAATGAACAATGGGCTGTGAGGTCATTCACTGATCAGTGATCAATGGTCATGACAATTTGCATATTAATGATCAAGGAACTGACCTCACAGCTCTTTGTTCATTCAGTGGGCTAATTTCAGTTATTGTGCAAAGATACATTTTAATGATTGACAAAACATTTCTCCCACTGAAAGCACTACAGCCAGATACTGTTTATAAGGTTGGACAAACATGCAGTCAGCTGAGACTGATGAAGTGACTTGGATGAGTGACAAAATGTTTCTTGCACTGAAAACAGTTAGGTCCACATGAACAGAGTCCACAAATGAACTTTTTGGGATTTCCTTACCTGGATGATTGAGCATGCATTAAGACATTTTAACCCCCATAGGGTGATTTCCTGATTTACATTAGAAATGATCTCTTGTCTCCATGTTTGCCTTTGTGGAAACAGATTGTGACAAACATCTATGAGCCTCAGGGCATTTCTTATGTTGACGCCCACGCAACCTTCCTCTCGAATGAGCTGCTCCCTCTGGTGGAGAAAACTGTCACAGACAGAAAGGTACCTTCATACAATTGATGATCATTTAAAATAAACTTTCTGATTATTGTGCTGCATTTTATTGCACGGTTGAATCTCAGTTGGGATCATAATTGTGTATGTATTATTCCCTTTTCAGGCACATATCTCCTTCTCACCAACCATGGAGCAGCAGAGGAAGTGTCCAGGTTGTGATGGAACACTTATTGATGGAGATTTTATTGTCAGCTATGATGTGAAGCGAGAGAAGAACCTAGGGGACATACAGGTCAGTGAAAGCTTCAAGTACTGAATAAGATCAAATTGAAAAAGTGATTTATTACACCGTTGTTTTAAAATTCATTACTTTTTGGAATCTGTCTCTTCTTCAGATTGTAAATGGATACTTTGTGCACTTCTTTGCTCCTGAATTACCCAAACTCCCAAAGAATGTGGTCTTTGTAATTGACATAAGTGGATCAATGAGTGGAAGAAAGATGGAGCAGGTAAGAAGTTGTTCTGACCCCTGATGTGCTTCTAATATGTCAAAGTTCACGTGGACACACGTCATCCTCTGACTCTTTGTAGACAAGAGAAGCTATGCTGGCCATTCTTCAACAAATCCATGAAGACGACCACTTTGCCATCATCCTGTTTGATTCTGTTATTGAAACCTGGAAGGATTCACTTACCAAAGCAACAAAGGAAAACATAACTGAAGCCATGGATTACATCAGAAGAATGCATAGTAGAGGAAGTAAGAAATACAAAAACTAAGCAAACAAAACAAAAAAACAAACACCTAACAGCACAATAACATTAATAGTTTATGCATTTTAAAACATGAATTGTGTTTTTCTTTTAGCAACCAATATTAATGATGCAGTGTTGACTGCTGTAAACATGCTGGTCAAAGACAGACAGATGGAGAGGCTACCAGATAGAAGTGCAGATATGATTATATTACTGACTGATGGAATGCCAAATGAGGGTAAGTATGTAGAGTGCAAATATACCGTAGGCTAGATTATGTTTGTTCAGCATTTAACATTTAACATTACATTGCATTTAGCATTTTTTTCTTTATGTTTTGCATGCATGCATTTGTAGGAGAGAGCAACACTGGCAAGATCCAGGAGAATATGCGTACAGCTATTGGGGGAAACATGTCTCTGTACTGCCTTGGATTTGGAAATGATGTGGATTATTCCTTCCTGGATGTGATGAGCAAACAAAACAAAGGCCTGGCCCGCAGAATCTTTGAAGCTTCAGATGCTGCTGCTCAGCTCCAGGTGCGAGTTCCTCTTCCACACTAATCTGTGTAGCTCCCTTATTTAGAAACCTTTAGATAATAACGTCTTCCACAGTGTAACCTCGTGTGCTTTATCCAAGCATACTTTCTGCTAAATCACCTGCAAATTATAATTAGAATAAATGCAGCCTGTTTGTAGCTTTGGAAACCAGAATCACTGAGTTGGAGTCCCAGCTCCAGACCCTTGAAAATCCTGCAGCTAGCCAGAGCCCTGTAGTCCATGTGGGCTTAGCCATCGTTAACTGCCTCCCCGGGCGGTTTGTACAGAGTAGCCAATAAATCATTCCAGCTGGGTAACAGTAAGCAGGAAGTCCATATTGTCCCATTCACCAACCCATAGTTTGAATTATTTTGCCTCACGTGGTGAGGAAAATATTCTCGTTATTGGCAACTGTTTTGAGATGCGTGAAACTAGAGACACCAGCGACCATTGTCTTCCAGTTAGAGTCGGGTGGACTGATCCAAATATTGATAATATTGATAACAACTCTAACAGTGTTATCAGAGTGATATTTGAATTTGTTTCTTCATTAAAAGGTTGAGTGTGTTGCATCTGAAAACCAACAAATCTACGCAAACACCTCTCCTCTCCTGCGGCGCACTTTGCCCTACCCCCCTCTCTCCTTAGTTGTCCCATTCAGATAATATATACAGCCCACAACAGCCCACAACAACACAGACAGTTTGAATTCATTTGAAAGCCTGACTCTTAGCCAACACAATGCAGAGCAGCTACCTAAACTCTCACAGAGGTTGATTATCTGATAGATTCTCACTGGATATGACTCTGAATACTCTGGCTCCCCTGCAGTGTTGGGCAAGTTACTTTCAAAAAGTAAATATTTATAGTTACTAGTTACTTCTTCAAAAAGTAACTGAGTTAGTAACTGAGTTGCAATATTATAGAAGTAACTAATTACTGGGAAAAGTAACTATTGTGTAAATAAAAAAAAAAAAGTCTAACCCCCTTGGGGCGAGAGTATAATTGCTGTTATTTTACCTCTACAGTTCACCTTTAAAAACTATTTATCTTGCCTTGTTTGGTGTCATTCTTTTCAGCACAAATTATTTGTGCCACTCCAAAAAATAATCATATCCACTATAAGATAAAGGAGCACTTCACAAGCCTGATACATCAATGCATGACAGCAGGAGATGTATCACTCCACCTGGAGACTACACTAAACACTAAACACTAAACACTAAATACACGACACACTAACTACACACTCCAGACACGCTAAACATCACAAATCTCTCACATCTCAAAGCTCTCTCTCTCTCTTTCGTTCTCTCACCGCCTTCACTCCTAAAACATCCCC